ATGCAAAAAACATTTTCTGTAACTACATGCCCTGGATGATATGTTCTGTAGCGTTTTACCTATTGACTGGCTGTGTTTATGTTTTGAAAGCATTGTTTGATTTTGAGCACAGATCAAATGGTTTTGAGGCAAGTGTTTGATTTAATCTTAGCAATTGTGAAAAACTGTAATGAGAAAGGTTTTGCTCATGACCTTTGACCTCAGCCTCTTACTGGATCACAGCTATTTTAATGATTTCCAGTTAAAAGAAAATATGAACACAGATCAGCATCAGAAACCTTCATAACCAAAGATGGCCCAAACAAAACTGTTTTTCAATATACAAACTAATGTAATTTTAAAAACGTTTCAATATCAACTGAAGTCATGAAACCATAAAACTATACTTACAAGTGTATAATTTAAATATGAGTCCCTGAGGTGGAATTGCAGAGGCCCGTAGATTACAATTTTTCTCGATTGCTCAGACACATTTCTTGAAATTATGCCTCTTTTTCTTGAAACTCTAAACACAAATGCACAACTTCTCACCCAATTCTCAGAACATCCTATTTTCAGGTCAAAATAAAGCTCTCCACTCAAAATTCAATTCCATTCAATCTTGCTGAAAAACCAAACTTTGCCCTCAGACATAACAAACAAGCCCTCAAAAACACACACTACAACACAGTCTTACACACTTGTGAGATAAATTCAAAACAATGCTAAAAAAATTGCTTATTAGTAATATTGCTTGTGATTCTCCCCCTCAAAACCTTTTCACATCATTAACACAAATGTAAACATTTGCACATTTTTTATTCTTAAGTGTGCCGTACAGCACACCAAACAAGAAAATATTCTACCCCTGGTGCTGTCTTTGGTCTGGGACAGGCCAGTGATTCTCCTCCTCCTCCTCCTCCTCCTCCTCCTCACCTCCTCCACCTCTTCTCCACCTCCTCCTCCTCCTCCTCCTCCTCCCTCCTCCTGCTCCGCCTCCTCCCAATTCCTTATCTTCCTCTCATCCCATCGCCTCCTCCAACTCCTACTGTTCCTCTTCCTTCACCTCTTACTCCTCTCCATACTGCTGCTCCTCTTCCCCCTCTCTAGTGTCCTACACCTCTTCCTTCAGATTTCTCTGGATCCATTGCTCCAAAACTGAATGAACTGACTCTGGCCCTTTTATCAATCTATTGCAGCTTCCGATTGATGTGTTATCAATTTTGACTGTTTGTGTTTCCACCTGGGTAGCTGTGTGCTAAATGAGCTCAACCTGTCCTGATTGAGTGAACAATATTGAATGTCAGTGCTTTCTCAATGACCACAGGTGAAGGCAATGAAAAATTTAAGGATTTGTGTGTAGAGTTTAGAGAAATGGCTGTGCTTTTTGAAAAATGAAGTTATGGTTTTGAAATTTTAGTTCAAAAGCCTGTTTATAGTGTTTAAGCAATGGAGAAAAACTGTAAAATCTTACATCAGTCATGTTGTATCACTTTATGCTGATGATATCCTGCTCTTTATTTCTAATGCTAAAATATACAATTCACACATTCTTATTTTTGTTCAGAGAAATAAAACTTACCATAATTTCTTTGTACAAATTCAGTCTAAACAACATGTGGATCTTCATCAAGAGGAATCTCCTGTAGTACAAGATAAATGGGTGGTTTTAGATTAAAATGCTTTAATCATTATGGTTAGTCTTACCCCAGTCATTAAAGAATGAAGAAGTAAGATTTTAAAAAGACAGTCTTGTTATTATTGTGTCTTCATACCTTATTTAAATGACTGGTAATATTAGATGCATGGCAAAAAAAAATCATAACCTGTCAATTTTATGATTTATTTGATCTATTAAAACCACCAATAATACAACAAGCAAGAACAAATTAATGTTAACATGTGTAAAAGGAGAGAGAGACAGAGAGAGAGCAGATGTGACGTTTTCATGAATTTGGATAAAACTTTTTTTTGTCTGTGCCTTTTTGATAAACAATAAAAAAGCAGCATCCAACACACAGTAAACATTCAGTAAATTACAAATGAGAGTTAAAGATATTGAGTCATGTGTAAAACAAAGGTTTCTTTTCTCATCTGCTGAGCTCAGAAACCATGACAACAGACAGGTTTCAGTACGTAAAGATAAGTAAAGATAAAAAATTAAGTGACATTTTGTTCTTTTGATGCATTCATGTCTGAAGGTTCAGTGTGAAAGTTTTTGTAGCATCCAGTGGTGGGGGTTGGCTCATGGTGCTTTCACGTGCTCCTCGGATGGTCCCATTTCCAGAAGTCATTCCTCTGACTTCATGTGGTCTTAAGTTGGAATGTGGAATCAACATGGAGACCACTACAAAGATGTGTTGGAATTACTTAGTCAGAGCAATTTCATTTCTAAATCCAACAAAAAAAGGCTGTCAAAACTTTCAACACATGGTCCTCTTTTATTATCTTTATATAATATAGTCTACCAAACTTTCAAACTTTTATTTGTGTCTTCTCATATTTGTATGCTGTTCTCCATACTTCTTTATGTCCTATTTACATTTTATTCCAATTTTTGCATAAAGAAAGAAAAAAAAAATCCACTTATTGTGACACCACATGAATGCATCATCAGTCAGTTCCTTTGCACTCACAGAGCAGAAGTTGAGGTGGCTGAAACACTGTCGGCTCTTGTGCTAAATAATATTTGTGATCCTCCATATGTCAAAATTTCACTTCTCTTCTTACATCTAATAAACCATACAACTACTAAAAATACTACTAACTTTACTTGTTGTTCATCTTCTGCTTGTTTTTCGTAAGTATTCAACGTAATGATGAAATACACTCTGTAGAGCAGTTTGTCCGTTTGGGCTACTGCGGAAACATGACGAAGTCCATGTTAGTGGACCTGCTGTGTATGTACAAAGAAACT